AAAAGGAAAAAAAAAAAAAGAAAGAGAGAGCATCCCGTCGCGTGGCTGGGCCACGGCCGCGATGCCTCGGCCACGGCCGAGATTTAAAAAAATAATAATAATAATGCAATTTCGAACTTGTCTTCGCCCAAGCTTGGAGTGGACTGTTATTCCTGCGAATTCGAAGCTGTGCAGCGGTCACCCGCGGAGTTGTCTCTTTTTTTTTTAAGAAGACCTCCCCCTGCCAGTATTCCTCTTCCTGATCCTGATCAATGCTTCGCAACTGGACCTTCCGGCGCTGGTGCGCCACATGGACCACACCACGTTGGTATTCACCCGATTGTGGCGGTTAGACCACTACCGTCTTCACCCGAATAGAACGGTCGGTCATTTCCACTGCATCTAGACTCAAAGTTGCACCAAATTCAGCTATAATGACCGGGCGTTCTATTCGGGTTAAACCACTCGTTGCTCCAAGCTTTCTTTTTTTCCATTGTGTTGTGCTGCCCAGCGCTGAAACGAACGCAACCAAACTGTCCAGTGGTCTTACACATTGAACCTGGTTTGAACCTGGTTTGAAACATTGAACCTGGTTGAAACTGGAAGGAAAAGCCTGGCACATTTTTGTCGTTTTCGCGTTTCGACAGGCTGTGTGGCGAGGCCCTAACTCTCGTTGCCAAACCACCGCCTAACTGTCGTACCTGAACTGCCCAACTGCCTTTCCGACAAACCGCCTGGACGATTGCATCGCTGGACTGGCTAACCGTCGTCGTTGTCAAACCGCCTACCTTCTTCCGCCGAATACTACGTACGGTCATTATAGCTGCACTTAGACTGAAAGATACCCCAAATTCAGCTATAATGACCGTACGTTGTATTCAAGGGAAAAAGACTGTAGCTCTCGTCGTTGTCGAACCGCGTAGCTCTCGTTTTTGTCGAACCGCCCAACTCTCGTTGCCAAACCGCCTAACTCTCGTTGCCGAGCCTCCTATAGCTCTCATTATCGAAACGCCTAAGCTAACCGTCGTCGTAAAACCGGCTAACCGTCGTCGCAAAACCGGCAAAATCTTGTTGCAAAACCGGCAAAATCTCGACGCAAAACCGGCTAACTGTCGTCGCAAAACCGGCTAACCGTTGTCGCAAAATTGGCAAAATCTCGTCACAAAACCGGCAAAATCTCGTCGCGAAACCGGCAAAATCTTGTCGCAAAACTGGCTAACTGTCATCGCAAAACTGGCAAAATCTCGTTGCTGAACCGGCTAGCTGTCGTTGCCAAACTGGCCAGCTGTCGTCATTGCCGAATCGCCCGACTCCTGTGGCCGCTTCACTTCCTCCGGTTTCCTGTGAGCATAAGGATATGTATGCCATGTTGTCTGCAGAGAGGGGAAAAAACAAACAGAAAAACAGAAGTGCCTCCCCCTTCCCTCCTCTCTCCCTCTCCTCCCGCAATCCACGAGACCCACCCCACCAAATCACTTCACCATAAGATGCCATCAACCAACCCCTACTCACCACCACCCATCTCCTGCACCTTAGCCCTTCCCCCCCCCTCCCCCCCCCAAACAACCCACCAAGTTACCCCATGCACAAAATATACATATAAATATATACATATAAGATATATTATATATATAGTCGAACAGAACTGCCCGGCAAACCATAGGCAGAGAGAGGTATCATATAATATTATATGTATGTCTAGTCAAACAGACATATCATGACAGGGCGTTTTGCTCAAGAGAAGCAAGTACAGGCCAGCATCGCCTCGCACGGACAACAGCAAATGATCACAGACAGAAGCCACAAAAACAAGGAATGAGTTCCTTTCTTGAAAACTTGAAAGACAGACAGCATAAAAGACTAACTCTTCTCAGGAAAAAAAAAACAAAAAACAAAAAAAAAACAGACGACTAATCACAAGATTCTCGGGTGGGGGGGAGGGGGAGAGGCAGGGGAAGGGGAAGCAAAACCATATATTTTTTTATAATACAATTAACACATAAATAAAAGTCGTTACCATACACAGTTTAGAAACTTTCAAAATTTTTAATTTTTAATTTTTAATTTTCTCCCCTTTTTTTTAATCATAAAACAAAATTCAAAATTGGAACATTTCTCAATTTAGGCGTGCCATCCTTGCGCAGGGGCCATGCTAATCTTCTTCTTCTTTTTTTTTTTTTTTTTTTTTTTTTTTTTT